TCCAGCATGTGCAAAGAACATTTTTTAGTTGGAACAAAAACCAGACTTTTTTTTTCTTGTCAGAATGCCTCAATATAATATAGTATCCCAATAAATGTAAAGGAGGTCATGATGCATGTGATGATACCTACCTTGTAGTCGCCAAAGCAAATTCGATGGCTTCGATACCTAGGTATTTCAATGTTTGTCTAGAAAGTTGGTCCGGTTTTTTCTGATGTAAGTTCGTGCCTCTGTATCCTGGTGGAAGGTTTTATCTGTATATCCCGTGTAAAGGGGACGTTGAAAAACAGTCTCTCCAACTCCCTCAACAGCTGAGGGTTGAGCTAAGACAGCGCTAGGTTCTAGACTCTCAAACCTTTTCAGCCTTCAGGTAGGTGAGTATGAGGTTGTGTCTCGTTAGGATTTCACCAAAAATTACTTGAGATTTTTCCAGTTCGGGAAACGAGCGATCATGCGTCCCTTCCACGATGCATCGGCGCTGCAATAAGTGTCATGATAAATGTCTTTGTATAAGCTATTATTGCCAGTGGGCAAGTGTGTTTTTTTTCTTTAACTTAAAGAACATTTCTTGCGCCATAATACGAATGTGTGTTTATGTCTGATCTTGATCGTATGGTTGTCCGTGTTATTTCAGTGTTTCCCATCTCCTACCCACCTTGAATTTTCATTCCGACTTGAATTAAAAACAAATTCTCATTTTAATTTTCCCCACTGCTTTGGAAATTTGTTATCTGCTTGTTAAAAGAATAACCCTACCTTTGTACAATCATTATTTCTTTTAAAAATCGGGTTCATGTACCCCTTGCACACGGTCTGCATCGTAAGTTTATCTAAAGACTATTACCATGTGATCTAAGTTACAATATTTCCTAAAAGAAAATATGAAGTTAGTGAAAAACATTTTTTTATCTATTTTGACCACCCCTTACATTGTCCGGTCTGATGACCGAAGCTGTTGAGGGCAACATTTTTCATGTATTTTTGTATGAGGGCAACATTTTCATGTATTTTTGTATGAGGGCAACATTTTTCATGTATTTTTGTTATCGCCCGACCGACTTTTGTAGACGCCGACCCGACAATATAAAAAGTTTTTTTCGAACTCGAAACCGGGTCTACAGCGTGACAAGCGAACGCTTTAGCCACTAGGCTACCCCACAGCCCTTCTTTTGTTGTTCTCTGCTGCTTTTGGTTGTTTTCAGTTGTGTTATGCATTCAAAATCGGAAAATTGACAACACACGATTTTATTGTGTATATTTGTATTTCATGAATAAGACTGGTTTTTCTTCTTTTCTAAATGCAGAGTTCCCATAGGCAATCTTAAACAGTCATGATAAAGTCAAATTAAAGTTAACGATGTTTTTGTCTTCTTATTGTATGTGGATATGAACAAAATATCAAGACTTTAAAATTTTAAACCAACCGACCGACCGAGCCAACTTTAGATGAAGATGTAATGAATGAAGCAAAATTAAAGTTATTGATGTTTTGTCTTCTTTTTTATGTAGATATGAACAAAATATCAAGATTTTTAAATTTTAACCGACCGACCGAGCCAACTTTAGATCAAGATGTATTATAGCAAACTTAAAGTTACAGTTGCTTTTGTCTTCGTATTTTATGTAGATATGAACAAAATATCAAGATTTTTAATTTTAAACCAACTGACCGACCGAGCCAACTTTAGATCAAGTTGTACTGAAACCAAATTAAAGTTAACGATGTCTTTGTCTTCTTATTGTATGTGGATATGAACAAAATATCAAGATTTAAAAAATTTAAACCAATCGACCGACCGAGCCAACTTTAGATCAAGATGTAATATAGCAAAATTAAAGTTACAGTTGCTTTTGTCTTCGTATTTTATGTAGATATGAACAAAATATCAAGATTTTTAATTTTAAACCAACTGACCGACCGAGCCAACTTTAGATCAAGTTGTACTGAAACCAAATTAAAGTTAACGATGTCTTTGTCTTCTTATTGTATGTGGATATGACCAACTTTAGATCAAGATGTAATATAGCAAAATTAAAGTTACAGTTGCTTTTGTCTTCGTATTTTATGTAGATATGAACAAAATATCAAGATTTTTAATTTTAAACCAACTGACCGACCGAGCCAACTTTAGATCAAGTTGTACTGAAACCAAATTAAAGTTAACGATGTCTTTGTCTTCTTATTGTATGTGGATATGAACAAAATATCAAGATTTAAAAATTTTAAATTAATCGACCGACCGAGCCAACTTTAGATCAAGATGTAATATAGCAAAATTAAAGTTACAGTTGCTTTTGTCTTCGTATTTTATGTAGATATGAACAAAATATCAAGATTTTTTATTTTAAACCAACTGACCGACCGAGCCAACTTTAGATCAAGTTGTACTGAAACCAAATTAAAGTTAACGATGTCTTTGTCTTCTTATTGTATGTGGATATGAACAAAATATCAAGATTTAAAAATTTTAAATTAATCGACCGACCGAGCCAACTTTAGATCAAGATGTAATATAGCAAAATTAAAGTTACAGTTGCTTTTGTCTTCGTATTTTATGTAGATATGAACAAAATATCAAGATTTTTAATTTTAAACCAACTGACCGACCGAGCCAACTTTAGATCAAGTTGTACTGAAACCAAATTAAAGTTAACGATGTCTTTGTCTTCTTATTGTATGTGGATATGAACAAAATATCAAGATTTAAAAATTTTAAACCAATCGACCGACCGAGCCAACTTTAGATCAAGATGTAATATAGCAAAATTAAAGTTACAGTTGCTTTTGTCTTCGTATTTTATGTAGATATGAACCAAATATCAATATTTTTAACTTTAAACCAACTGACCGAGCCAACTTTAGATCTAGATGTAATGAAATAAAATTAAAGTTACAGATGTTTTTGTCTTCTTTTTTTGTGTAGATATGAACAAAATATCAAGATGTTTAATTATTTTTAACCAAGCGACCGACAAAGCCAACTTTAGATCATGATGTAATGAAGCAAAATTAAAGTTACTGGTGTTTTGGGTTTTTTCATGTAGGTACGAACAAAATATCAAGATTTTTAATTTTAAACCAACTGACGACCGATCTAAAATCAAGATGTCTACGCGAAACACATATAACATGCACCACAGTGTTTTTGACGCATTCTATTTCTCCCCTTGTTTGCAGCCTTTTGTCAAATAGCTTTCAGTCGTGATCTTCTTAAGAAAGATCGGCGAAGCGTACATTGCCTCTCGATGACGCCATGTTGTTTTCTCGCGGACTATGTCAATATTTATCACAATGGAGGTTAATAATGTTCACCTTACGAGTTAGGATCAATGTCGAACACATGACCTGACTAGGTCATTACGGGTCTGTTACGGCATATATTTTTTCGTCACATGATGTGAAGTAACCGGTGAGATGTCTGTCAGGGAACGTTCCTAATTTATGGCCCGTCGTTTCCGGTGAGGTGAGGTGAGGTGAAATTGGGTTTAATGTCGTGCTTGAGAATATTTCGCTCATATGACGACGTGCATGCGTGTGTATGTGTATGTGCGGCTGCTTGTACTAGCCCAGACTGAAGCTGGTTTCATAGTGCTAGCCCACTCAGATACCATGCCGCAGTGAAGCATGAATACCCCACTCAGACACATTATACTGACTCCGAGCCGACCAGTCCTTGTTGTACCCATTAATGCCGAGCGCCAGGCAGGGACCAACAAGTACCATATTTTAACGTCTTTTGGTATGACGCGGTCGGGGATCGAACCCGCGACCTTCCGCTCTCCGGGCGGACGCTCTAACCACTACACCACGGAGGCGGTCCGTCGTTTCCGGGTTATTATAGGTCTGAAGTAAACAGTGCTGGTTGTTAGATTTCGTTTGTTTATAACGCCGCACTCAGCAATTCCCGCAATATGACGGCAGTCTGTAAATAATCGAGTCTGGATCAGACAATCCAGTGATTGATATCATGAGCATCAATTTACGCATTTGGGATACGATTACATGTGTCAACTAAGTCAGCAAGCCTGACCACCCGATCCCTTCAGGCCCCTACGACAAGCATTGTTTGCTGGTTGTTAGGGGTTTCCAGTGTGGATGGGGAGGTCCGGCTCGGTGACTTGACTGGTTTCCTGGCATGAATCACTGCATTGTATTGCATACCAAAAGACGTTAAAATATGGTGCTTGTTGGTCCCTGCCTGGCGCTCGGCATTAATGGGTAAAACAAGGACTGGTCGGCTCGGAGTCAGTATAATGTGTTTGAGTGGGGTATTCATGCTTCACTGCGGCATGGTATCTCAGTTGGCTAGCACTCTAAAACCAGCTTCAGTCTGGGCTAGTACAAGCAGCCGCACATACACATACACACGCATGCACGTCGTCATGTGAGCGAAATATTCTCAAGCACGACGTCAAACCCAATTTCACCTCACCTCACCTCACTGTATTGTATTGCTTTTGAAACGTGTAGATCGGCGGGATGAGTGGAGACAGAAAAGTGTATAATTGTATCTCTGGGCGTATTCTGTTCTCTGCTGTTGGGCTGTTAAACTTATATCAGGGCTTGTCTGCAACGTATGGGAGGATACCCCGAAGTAATGAAGGTTTAAGTCGTGAAACACAGCATGGTTGGTTGATTGGTTAACTCCGCACCCAGCAATATTCCAGCTATATGGCGGCGGTCTGTATATAATCAAATCTGGACCAGACAATCCAGTGATCACCAGCATGAGCATCGATCTACGCAATTGGGATACGATGACATGTGTCAACTAAGTCAGCGAGCCTGACAACCCGATCCCGTCAGTCGCCTCTTACGACATGCATGGGTTCCTGAAGACCAATTCTAACCCGGACCTTCACGGGTAATGCTGATGAATTCAAAGGTCCCTAAACGAGTTGTTATAATAATAATGTGCCTGGTCATACAATCACAAACATATCTCAAGTAGAAAGTGGAGATTTTTCAGGGAGTTAATCAAATATATTCACTTTTCCAGAATCCAGTGACTCCGACAAGGAGCTGCATGTTCCGCTGGCCTTGATATTCACGCCATGTCTGCTGCTGGTTACGTGAGTGCTGAACTCTGCTCATCAGCGCTGTGTTGTTTGAGGAGGAAGCGACGAGTCCCCCTGTCAAAAAGTGAGGAAGAGTCTGCCGTTATCACGTCTGAAGCCGCCATAGGCCAGAAGACCGGAAACGGCGTGACGTTGCTTACGTCCTCAACGAATCCAAACATCACTTTCATGTCCCAGGAGAAGTCCTTCTTGACGAACGACGTATCCACATCGAACCATATGAAGTCTGTGTCAAGATACGAGCCCCCACAGTGTCCTGTGATGCATCATGGGTCAACAGCTGACAAAGTGACCTCTTTGAAGAACTACCTGGATGGAACCGTTACCGTGGACAGTCTGCATGACAAACAGCTTCAGGTGTGTAACTAGTTGTACTGCTATTAGTATCATGTAGTCATCAGTAACTAGTTGTAATACAGTTACTTTCATATAACTTCTTTGATTGGCATTCTTGAAGTTGAGGAAATGAAGTTTGAGGACATTTTTTATGGATTTACAACTTCTGTATTCTGTATAGGCGACGTTTCGACATAGACAACGACATTAGAATGTCGAAACGTCGCCTATACAGACTAAAGAATTTCTTTATCCATCCAAAAATGGATGGTCCTCATTCTACTGTCATATAGTTGTAATTATAGTTGTAACACTTCCAGTATCATATGCAGTCATCATTAACTTGTTGTAATACAGTTACTATCATATAGTTGTAATTATAATTAACTAGTTGTAATACAGTTACTATCATATAGTTGTAACACCGCCAGTATCATGTAGTCATCATTAACTAGTTGTAATACAGTTACTATCATATAGTTGTAATTATAGTTGTAACACCGCCAGTATCATGTAGTCATCATTAACTAGTTGTAATACAGTTACTATCATATAGTTGCAATTATAGTTGTAACACCGCCAGTATCATGTAGTCATCATTAACTTGTTGTAATACAGATACTATCATATAGTTGTAATTATAGTTGTAACACCGCCAGTATCATGTAGTCATCATTAACTTGTTGTAATACAGTTACTATCATATAGTTGCAATTATAGTTGTAACACCGCCAGTATCATGTAGTCATCATTAACTTGTTGTAATACAGATACTATCATATAGTTGTAATTATAGTTGTAACACCGCCAGTATTATGTAGTCATCATTAACTTTTTGTAATACAGTTACTATCATATAGTTGTAATTATTACTCACCCGTTGAAGATACAACTGTTTAACAAATCCACAATGTTTTTACACATGGTGTAATAACATCGCCTGCTGCCGGAACTATTTGCACTCGGTCACATGACCGGCTCGGTCGCGTGACACAGTTGTGCGGGCATAATGCACTCGTTGAATTCTTTGGAAAGACGTTTCAGCTGTTATTTGCTCGGTTGCATTTAATAACATTTATATCAAATATAATATATTGGTTGTAGTCATTTGGTCCCTTTTTCACACACCCTTGTTTAGTTTTAACAAATCAAATTAAATAGATTAATGTTGACAATCATAAATGAAATGTATTCTGTAAGTTGAATTCTGAGATATTATTTTGCTAATGTTGGGTAAGCAATAAATAAAACTCGTTAGATACCAAACCATTTACTCGTTTCATAAATATGGTATTACACGGGACATCGTTTAGTATTCTCAATGTTAGTAATACTGTGAATATTATTTAGTCGAAATTACAGTTGTCATACAGTTACTAGCATATAGTTGTAATATTAGTCGTAATGATATCAGTATCGTGTAGTTGTAATACTGCCAGTATATTGTAGTTTTAATGATAGAGGTAATACTGCCAGCGATATATAATCGTAATTAACTAGTTGCAGTACACTGACTATCATAAAGTTGTACTTATAAGGGCGGTGGGGCAACCTAGTGGTTAAAGCATTCTTTCGTCACGCCAACGGCCCGGGTTCGATTCGACATTGGGTACATTGGTGTGTTAAGCCACCTTCTGGTGGTCTCTTAGAATATTGATAAAAGCGGCGCTAAACCATCACTCACTCGTCCACCCACTCACGCACGCACGCACGCACTCACTCACTCACTCACTCACTCACTCACTCACTCATTCACTCAAGCGCAGGTAAATTAAGCCATTCCTTGATTTCCAGAGCGGTATCTGTTCAGAAAATGTATGCATGGGTTCAACAATGCTGAATGACGACATGAAACACCCTAAGACGCCTAGACCAAGAGAAGAGCTTCTTATCCATGCCAAAGACTTCATGGACCAGTATTACACTTCTCTAAAAAGGTACTTAGTAGAAACATCCCGGTAGTCCCAGTAACAACAGGCAATATTACAAAACCTTGGTGCATCATTCAACAATTGGTAGTGTGGTATTAAGTCTTCACTAAACAGGCCCTCTTGTTTTGCGAGGATCAAAGATTATTTACTTTCATAGATGATCCCCGACTCGAAATGCTTGGCAGTACATGATTTATTGTGCTATGAAGCATTTCGAGTCGAGCTCATCTAAAAACAAATCTATAATCCTCACAAAGACAGGAGGGCCTGTGGTGCACAAAATGTCCAAAATAGTACAGGTGTTCAGTCACAAATATCAGATAGGTAAATAGACACAGAATGCCATTTTCTCCAACATGTTTCGTTCTTTAATCTCCCTGAAGAGTCAAAAATGAAACATGTTTGAGAAAAAGGCATTCTGTTTTTTATTTTTCTATCTGATATAATATATTGATATTAACATGTAACTAATGAAAATAATATACAGCAGCGTTTTGTGCACTTCTGAACATTTATATGTATGGTGATTCTCTTCTCAAGACTCATGTTGAAAACACAACATTCCACAATTTTCTAAAATGATCCAACGATGTTGGACATAATCTCGATGTCACTCTTGATTTTGTTGATGGTCACTTACTGCTGGGCAGTACAGGAAGTAATGTCAACCAAGCCAAGTGCCATATCAAATCGACCGCCTCCGTGGTGTAGTGGTTAGAGCGTCCGCCCGGAGAGCGGAAGGTCGCGGGTTCGATCCCCGACCGCGTCATACCAAAAGACGTTCAAACATGGTACTTGTTGCTCCCTGCCTGGCGCTCAGCATTAATGGGTACAACAAGGACTGGTCGGCTCGGAGTCAGTATAATGTGTCTGAGTGGGGTATTCATGTTTCACTACGGCATGGTATGTCAGTGGGCTAGCACTATAAAACCAGCACCAGTCTGGGCTAGTACAAGCAGCCGCACCTACACATCCACACGCATGCACGTCGTCATATGAGCGAAATATTCTCAAGCACGACGTTAAACCCAATTTCACCTCACCTCACCTCACCTCACCTCACCTCACCTCACCACATCTACATCTACATTTAATCCTTACTTGTTTCTTACAGTTTTAACTCTGAACGCCATAGAAGGAGGTGGGCAGAAGTTGAAGAAGACATTCACGCAATGGGAATCTATGACCTGACCTTGGAGGAGCTGACTTTCGGTGTGAAGACAGCGTGGAGAAACGCTCCGCGGTGTATTGGACGAATCCAGTGGTCCAAACTGAAGGTGAGACGGGTGTCCGAAACCAAAAATGGCACCAGAATATTCATATGTGTCTGTAGAAGTATTTGGTAGCAGCACCAATGTCATAACAGGAATCTGTGTCGGTAGAAGGAATGGGTAGTTGATGTGTCTCTAGGCCTCAGTAATGGAGGCAGTCTTTAAAGCATTTATCTCTGCAACAGAAGACAATCTGCACAAGATATGGTTGGTGGGTTTGTTGCTTAACGCCGCGCTCAGCAATATTTCAGCATATAGCTAAAATATTGCTGAGTGAGTCGATTATTTACAGACCGCCGCCATATAGCTAAAATATTGCTGAGTGAGTCGATTATTTACAGACTGCATATAGCTGAAATATTGCTGAGTGAGTCGATTATTTACAGACTGCATATAGCTGAAATATTGCTGAGTGAGTCGATTATTTACAGACTGCATATAGCTGAAATATTGCTGAGTGAGTCGATTATTTACAGACTGCATATAGCTGAAATATTGCTGAGTGAGTCGATTATTTACAGACTGCATATAGCTGAAATATTGCTGAGTGAGTCGATTATTTACAGACTGCATATAGCTGAAATATTGCTGAGTGAGTCGATTATTTACAGACTGCATATAGCTGAAATATTGCTGAGTGAGTCGATTATTTACAGACTGCATATAGCTGAAATATTGCTGAGTGAGTCGATTATTTACAGACTGCATATAGCTGAAATATTGCTGAGTGAGTCGATTATTTACAGACTGCATATAGCTGAAATATTGCTGAGTGAGTCGATTATTTACAGACCGCCGCCATATAGCTGAAATATTGCTGAGTGAGTCGATTATTTACAGACTGCATATAGCTGAAATATTGCTGAGTGAGTCGATTATTTACAAACCGCATATAGCTGTAATATTACTGAGTGCGTCGGTTATTTACAGACCGCCGCCATATAGCTGAAATATTGCTGAGTGCGTCGATTATTTACAGACCGCATATAGCTGTAATACTGCTGAGTGAGTCGATTATTTACAGACCGCATATAGCTGTAATATTACTGAGTGCGTCGGTTATTTACAGACCGCCGCCATATAGCTGAAATATTGCTGAGTGCGTCGATTATTTACAGACCGCATATAGCTGTAATACTGCTGAGTGAGTCGATTATTTACAGACCGCATATAGCTGAAATATTGCTGAGTGCGTCGATTATTTACAGACCGCCGCCATATAGCTGAAATATTGCTGAGTGCGTCGATTATTTACAGACCGCCGCCATATAGCTGAAATATTGCTGAGTGAGTCGATTATTTACAGACCGCATATAGCTGTAATACTGCTGGTGAGTGCGTCGTCGATTATTTACAGACCGCCGCCATATAGCTGAAATACTGCTGAGTGAGTCGATTATTTACAGACCGCCGCCATATAGCTGAAATATTGCTGAGTGAGTCGATTATTTACAGACCGCCGCCATATAGCTGAAATATTGCTGAGTGCGTCGATTATTTACAGACCGCCGCCATGTAGCTGAAATATTGCTGAGTGCGTCGATTATTTACAGACCGCATATAGCTGTAATACTGCTGAGTGAGTCGATTATTTACAGACCGCATATAGCTGAAATATTACTGAGTGCGTCGGTTATTTACAGACCGCCGCCATATAGCTGAAATATTGCTGAGTGCGTCGATTATTTACAGACCGCATATAGCTGTAATACTGCTGAGTGAGTCGATTATTTACAGACCGCATATAGCTGAAATATTGCTGAGTGCGTCGATTATTTACAGACCGCCGCCATATAGCTGAAATATTGCTGAGTGCGTCGATTATTTACAGACCGCCGCCATATAGCTGAAATATTGCTGCGTGCGTCGATTATTTACAGACCGCCGCCATATAGCTGAAATATTGCTGCGTGCGTCGATTATTTACAGACCGCCGCCATATAGCTGAAATATTGCTGAGTGCGGCGTTAAGCAGCCAGACCAAACCATAACAGAAATCACTCGCCGTATTAAGTGCTTTCATATAAATAGTTTTGAAACATTTCCCATATGTCTAACGCTGTTTTCACAGCGTCACGGGGCAGTGTGGTCAGAAGTCGATTTTTACAGCCCGTCGCCGTGTAGCTGGAATATTGCTGAATGCGGCGTTATACTACAAACAAATCCTGTCAGTGTATGTCTTGGAGCTTTTAGTCAGTGCATGTGTGTTACTCACTAACTCACTCACTCACTCACTCACTCACTCAATGTTTGCAGGTGATGGATGCTCGTCACGTGTCCACTGCTCGCGGGATGTTTGAGGCCATGTGTTCCCATCTTGAGTACGCCACCAATAACGGTAACCTCAGGTAAAGATATAAATATCTTGTCTCTGAAATGAACATATTTTTCAGTAAGAAAATGTTCATAAAAATAATCATAAAATATAATGAAAAAGAGCCCAGAGACTTTCTTCATTTCCTGAAACTATGGAAATCTAGACTTGCCACATATTCTAGACTAGATAGTCCCCATATGTGTTTGTGACTTGTAAATGTCAATCAAAACACTTTTAAAAACTTTAAAGGGGCGGTGGGGTAGTCTAGTGGTTAAAGCGTTCGCTCGTCACGCCGAAGACCCGGGTTCGATTCCCCACATGGGCACAATGTGTGAAGACCATTTCTGGTGTCCCCCGCCATGATATTTCTGGCGTAAAACTCAACTCACTCACTCACTGGGTGGAAATTAGTCCCAAAACGCCAGTTGTGTACTTTCTTTTGTTCGTCAGTGTATATGCTGGAGTGCGTACATGTATTCCGCATATATACATGTCAGATAATGGTAAATCAGGATTTGCTCAAACCGAATCGTATCTTACAATGGCGAATACGGGTCTTGTGCTTCTGATACAACCGACTTATTTCACGAGACGAGCGTTACAACAAAGCTGACGTGTTCAGTAAAGTGGTAAACGTCACTTGGGCCTTTTGGATTAGGGTAAAACGCCATGTTGAAATAGGCAACAAGCAGTGAAAGGGTACCCGGGAGGAAAGAAATGTTTATTTTGTATTATTATTATTGTTATTTTTGTTTGCTTCGTTTTAGGTCTACAATCACGGTGTTTCCCCCGCGTAGATCCAGGAGAGAGGACTTCAGGGTATGGAACAATCAGGTTATCCTGTACGCCGGCTACCGTCAACCTGACGGTAGCGTCATCGGCGACCCCGTCAACGTCGAGTTCACTGAGGTTGGTTTACATTCAAGCTGCGGTATGGGAGGGGCGGTGGGAAGAGGGAGGGAGGGAGTAAATTCTCTTTTCAACTCATCATATAGCTGTTCAGGGGATTAACACTTCTTGGGGTATGACTTGAGGTATTTTCACATGAAAAGTGGCCAAAGCCTCCGAGGTTTAATAGACGAACGTTCTACCCAGAGGATAGAAGGTGGGTGGTTTTATCCTCGGTGGCGTAGTAACAATAGACGTTAAATGTGGCTGTTATTTCTTCCTTGTCTGACGGCCAGGGAATAAAACAAGGACCGGTCGACTTTGGAGTGTACTGTCAGGTATCCGACCGCTGCCTGCTGTTTCAAAGGGAAAGCACTACAAACCGTCATTAGTCCGGAGACAGACAGACAGACAGACAGACAAATGTGAACACACACACACACACACAGACACACACACAAAGAGACACACAGGCAAACAGACACATACGCACACAGACAGAGAGAAAGAGACACACACACACAGACATACACAGACACAGACACATACAGACAGACATGCAGGGACACACAGAAACATAAAACATACACACAGAAATGACATACAGACACACGCATACAGACACACATACACAGTCAGACAGTTTCTCTCTCTCTCTCTCTCTCTCTCTCTCTCTCTCTCTCTCTCTCTCTCTCTCTCTCTCTCTCTCTCTCTCTCTCTCTCTCTCTCTCTCTCTCTCTCTCTCTCTCTCTCTCTCTCACACACACACACATATATTTCTGCTATGATTTTAAGCTACTGTAAATCGATATCTTACCTCCAGAATATCACATGGCCAAACCTTAACAGTACCATTGTCTCCCCTTTCACCAGATATGCGAGGCACTGGGATGGCAGGGCAAGGGAGGGATGTTTGATGTGTTGCCATTCGTTGTATCGGCGGCAGGCGAAGACCCAGAAGTGTTTGACATTCCCGAGAAGCTTGTGTTTGAAGTGCAGATCAAACACCCAAAGTGAGTACAACATTTTTAATCGCAGACGGTATCATAGCAGTCTTGCGTGAGCTAATGAACTGACTTCACACACTTTAGCCATAATCTCGTCAGTACCACCTTGAAGATCCGGGTTAGAATTGATCTTCACATGCTTGTCGTAAGAGGCGACTAACGGGATCGGGTGGTCAGGCTCGCTTACTTGACACATGTCATCGTATCCCATTTGGGTACACTGATGCTCATGCTGTTGATCACTGGATTGTCTGGTCCAGACACGATTTTTTACTGACCGCCGCCATATAGCTGGAATATTGCTGAGTGCGGCGGAACACTAAACGCACTCACTCACTCATCAGTACAACGATTGGGTTCACCAGAAATGGTCTTCACATGTTGTTCACGTGTGTGGAATCGAACCCCTTCCTACGGCGGGATGAGGGAGCACTTAAACACCTGGGTTACCCCACAAGTAGCATGTTCATATATCTGAATACTCACACCGAACGATCATTTATATAATTTCCCCAAAAGGGGACTGTTCCATTTTCAGGAGTCAGGAGTATGTGAGTGGGGTTTAACGCCGCTTTCAGCAATATTCCAGCAATGTGACGGCGGGGGGCACCAGAAATGGGCTTCACACATTGTACCCATGTTTGTTGGGATCGAACCCGTGTCTTCAGGATGACGAGCGATCGACTTAACCACTACGCTCCCCCCACCACCCCTTCAGACTCCAAGAATATTGTTTTAGTGCAAATATTTCACTAATATTTCACACACAAAAATATAATAACTATGATATGAAATGTATATGGATCCATGTCTGGCGGCATGTATTTTACAACCTGAGTGAGTTACTCTCGTTTGTGTACGGAAAATCACAACATAGGTACTTTTGTGAATTCATATAAATTTCATATCAAAGTTATTATATTTTTGTGCGTGAAATATTAGTGAAATATTTGCACTATAACAATATCAAAGCCTGTATATATCTGTAATGATTATTATAATTCTGTATAACTCTAGTGCTGATAATTAGTTAACTGCGACAACTCTGTAACAGAGTTGATTGGTAATATACATGATAATGGTTCTATCTTCTTAGGACTATAATTACATAATATAGATTCTTTAATATTCTAGATACACGTGGTTTGAGGAGTTAGGTTTGAAGTGGTTTGCATTGCCGGGTGTGTCAAAGATGGTGTTTGACTGTGGTGGACTTGAGTTTCCCGCAGTCCCTTTCAACGGCTGGTACTTAAGCACGGAGGTTGGGGCCAGGAACTTTTGTGACGTTGCAAGATACAATATAACGGAGGTAAGTGTGTGCTTCAGTCACGTGACTTGTGACGTCACTCAGTTAGGATGATACGCCTGTGACGGAGATAATGTATGTACCATAGGGATGTCTGTGACGCCGCTAGATACAACGTCATACAGGCGGTTGATGTAAATTGGGGACGTCCGCTCGACACAACGTCAGTCGTGTAGTCGATGTACCACGGGGACATCTGTGACACTGCCAGATAATATTGGTTACACGGTGTTTTGAATGATTTGCGCAGTTTTTCTGAATTAGTATGGGTCACGTGGCCCCAAATGCAAATAAAGTTGTCACTTGTCACTCGTCACTTGCCACTATATGGCAATTGTTTCTGTCGTTTTTCAGAAAGTTGCTACTAAGATGGGTCTAAACACTGAGACAAGCTCCTCACTGTGGCGCGACCGTGCCCTAGTGGAGGTCAACATTGCCGTGCTGCATAGCTTCCAGGTACGCGTAATGTTAGGAGCTTAGCCCTCTTGGCGATATTATCATTATATTGATAATAAAGAAGATGTATATCCATAGAACTCTCCTCGTTGGTCCTCGTTGCCATTGTTAAAAGCTCTGCTACTGACTGGGATGAGCGAATGGAGAGACCTGTCTGTTCAAAATATCGGGATGGGCAGGCGACGTCCTGAAGGTTAAAAAGACGAATCCGCTGACAGAATATTGGGCATTGTCGTGTACAATTTTCTATGCCTTTTTAACATTTTGCTGCTCGTCAAGTAAGCCAGTGGGAGGTATGACATCTGGACAACCAGTGAATTCTTGAGCTGAGTTTATGATTATATCAAGGCTTGATTCAGTTTACTTTTCCGTTATGGAAACCTACTTGTTTAGATTGTTCGTATTTCGTCACTGATGATGTCGTTCTTGTTCCTCCACAGTCGGCAGGTGCGACGATTGTTGACCACCACACAGCGTCCGAATCCTTCATCCAGCACATCCAGAACGAGCAGCGCCTGCGAGGGGGGTGCCCCGCTGACTGGGTGTGGGTGGTGCCCCCGATGAGCGGTAGTCAGACGGAGGTGTTTCACCAAGAGATGATGGTCTACAAACTCAAGCCTTCCTATGAGTACCAGGTAGTGATTCAATTTCTATTTGTATGTTAGTATGACCCTTTATATCCTTGGCCTATATACAACAATCACTACCTGCATGTCGATATGACCCTATATGCCCTTGGCCTATATACAACAATCACTACCTGCATGTCGATATGACCCTATATTCCCCTGTCCTATATACAACAAACTCTACCTGCATGTTAATATGGCCCTATATTCCCATGTCCTATACTCAACAATCTCTACATGTATGTTAATATGGCCCTATATTCCCATGTCCCATACTCAACAGTCTCTACCTCTATGTTAATATGGCCCTATTTTCCCATGTCCTATACTCAACAATCTCTACATGTATGTTAATATGGCCCTATATTCCCATGTCCTATACTCAACAATCTCTACCTCTATGTTAATAGGGGCGGTGGGGTAGCCTAGTGGTTAAAGCGTTCGCTCGTCACGCCGAAGGTCCGGGTTCGATTCCCCACATGGGCACAATGTGTGAAGCCCATTTCTAGTGTCCCCCGCCTTCATATTGCTGGAATATTGCTAAAAGCGGCGTAAAACTACACTCACTCACTCACTCCTCACTCTATGTTAATATGGCTCAATATTCCCATGTCCTATATACAACATTCTCTACATGAATGTTAATATGGCCCTATATTCCCATGTCCTATACTCAACAATCTCTACCCGCATGTTAATATGGCCCTATATTCCCCTATCCTATACTCAACAATCTCTACCTGCATGTTCACATGGCCCTATATTCCCATGTCCTATACTCAACAATCTCTACCTGCATGTTCACATGGCCCTATATTCCCCTATCCTATACTCAACAATCTCTACCTGCATGTTAATATGGCCCTATATTCCCATGTCCTATACTCAACAATCTCTACCTGCATGTTCACATGGCCCTATATTCCCATGTCCTATACTCAACAATCTCAACATGAATGTGAATATGGCCCTATATTCTCATGTCCTATACTCAACAATCTCTACCTCTATGTTAATATGGCCCTATATTGCCAGGTCCTATACTCAACAATCTCTACCTCTATGTTAATATGGCCATATATTCCAGTGTCCTATACTCAACAATCTCTACCACTATGTTAATATGGCCCTATATTCCCATGTCCTATACTCAACAATCTTTACCTGCATGTTAATATGGCCCTATATTCCATATGGCCATATATTCCAGTGTCCTATACTCAACAATCTCTACCACTATGTTAATATGGCCCTATATTCCCATGTCCTATACTCAACAATCTTTACCTGCATGTTAATATGGCCCTATATTCCCATGTCCCATACTCAACAGTCTCTACCTCTATGTTAATATGGCCCTATTTTCCCATGTCCTATACTCAACAATCTCTACAGGAATGTTAATATGGTCCTATATTCCCCTGTCCTATACTCAACAATCTCTACCTGCATGTTGATATGGCCCTACATAACATGTCGCGTACACCGTTTCCTATCTCCGTGTCTAGTGTTAGGCCATCTCCGTATGTATTCCAGGATGACGCGTGGGCCTCTCATGTATGGAAAGACAGGAACCTACAACAAAGATACCTTGATGCGCGACAGAAAAGGTGGGTACACCAGCAGCCAATAGAACAGAACTTTCAATCTTTAATAAGTAGTTTGTCATCAAGTGCAGTTACTGCAATTACAGCTCGTAAAATATTACCAGGAATTCCTTGTTGTAAAACAGTATGTGTTTTTACCAATACAAAATCTGTCCACAGTCTGGCCAAAGCTCAGACCAAGGCAGTGGCCAGTCATATCAACTGTGTCATCTTGTACGCCACGGAGACCGGCAGATCAGAGCGCTTCTCAAATCGGCTGTGTCAGATATTCAAGCGAGCGTTTACCACCAGGGTAAGATTGTAGTGTCAGGTCGCCAGATGATTGTGTCAAACATTCAAGCGAGCGTTTACTACCAGGGTAAACCAGTGAAGGTCCGGGATAGAATGAACCTTCAGTAACCCATGCTTGTCATAAGAGGCGACTAACGGGATCGAGTGGCCAGGCTCTCTGGCTTGGTTGACACATGTCATTGGTTCCCAATTGCGCAGATCGATGCTCATGCTGTTGATCACTGGATTGTCTGGTCCAGACTCGATTATTTACAGACCGCCTCCATATAGCTGGAATATTGCTGTGTGCGGCGTAAAACAACAAACCAAACAACCAAATCAAGTGTGTCCGCGTACATATAAGAATGTGTTGCATATAAAGGTTGTGCATGTACGAGATGGGTGGTGAGAGGTTCTCGGTACAACTTGTGGTATGACGACGAGTTTCTGACTACAAGACTGTGCTTGGGAAAACTACCGTTAATTATGCAAACCAAAACAAAATTAACAACGGTCATCTCCGCCATCTTCCCTACAGGTCGTGTGCATGGAGGACATCGACCTGACTGAGTTGCAGCAGGAGGACCTCATCCTCGTCGTCACCAGCACCTTCGGCAACGGCGACGGCCCGGAGAATGGCGAGGTGGGTATTGTTGTTTTGAAAAGTTTTTGTAGATAGATTGATAGGAAAAGTGAGGGAGATAATGTGAAAGCGAAAGATGGAGTAGACAGCGGGAAAGGGAGAAATAACAAGAGAAGAAGGAGGGGAAACCGATTCACGAGATACAGAGGGAATGAGAGAGGTTGACACACATAGGGTAAAAGAGAGCTCATGGTAGGCTGACGGGGAGAGAGGGGTGGAAAACGTACCAGAGCGGCATGTGCGGATGGGGAGAGGAGAGAGAGGGGAAGGGGTGAGAATGAAGAAGGGGAAGAAGAGAGAGTAGGAGTAGAGAGAGAGAGAAGTGGGGAAAGGAGAGGAGAGAAATTGGGAATGGGTAAGTGAGAGAGACGTGATAGATGTGGGAAAGGAAAGAGAGAGAGAAGACAGAAAGAATGGAGAGAATGGGAACGTGAGAGAGAATTGGGGATGGAGAGTGAGGAGGAAAGAGAAGTGGGGAAGGGGAAGGAAAGAGAGACAGAGAAAATGGAGAGAATGGGAACGTGAGAGAGACGTGGGGTTGGAAGTGAGGAGGAAAGAAGAAAGAGAGGGGAGAAGGAAAGAGAAAGAATGGAGAGAATGGGAACGTGAGAGAGAAGTGGGGATGGAGAGTGAGGAGGAAAGAGAAGTGGGGAAGGGGAAGGAAAGAGAGAAGACAGAGAAAATGGAGAGAATGGGAACGTGAGAAAGAAGTGGGGATGGAGAGTGAGGAGGAAAAGAAGAGAAGTGGGAAGAGAGGAGGAAAGAGAGAAGATAGAGAAAATGGAGAGAATGGGAACGTGAGAGAGAAGTGGGGATGGAGAGTGAGGAGGAGAGAGAAGTGGGGAAGGGGAAGGAAAGAGAGAAGACAGAGAAAATGGAGAGAATGGGAACGTGAGAAAGAAGTGGGGATGGAGAGTGAGGAGGAGAGAGAAGTGGGGAAGGGGGAGGAAAGAGAGAAGATAGAGAAAATGGAGAGAATGGGAACGTGAGAGAGAAGTGGGGATGGAGAGTGAGGAGGAGAGAGAAGTGGGGAAGGGGAAGGAAAGAGAGCACAGGGGACGGAGTAGAGGAAGGAAAGGGAAAATAGAGAGATGGGGAGAGAGGAATAGAGAGATGTGATAGATACAGACGTAGGCGGGACAGAGTAAAAGGTTTCACAGGGTGGAAGATAGATAGATTTTTCAGGGACGGGAGGGGTGAATGGATAGGTAGAGGAATAAGGAGAAGAGTTAGAAAGATAGAATAGACAGAGATAGAGAGAGGGTGAAAGAAAGAAAGAGTTAATATACATGTATATGTATTAATCTGTTGTACCTTATTGAAGACATTTGTTTATTTTCCCTCACCCAGCCTTTTGCCAAGAGCATGGAGAAATACAGACAGTCGGAATCCCTTGAAAGAGGAGGACCGCTAAAAAACATCAGGTACGTTATTCCTTCTCATTTCTTCTTTTTCCATAACGATAACCTGCTTCTTTAAATAACAATAATAATCCATTTGTCATGCACATTTCTCCACGCATAATGCATGCACGAAGCGCCCAAACAATCCCATTATTATTACCCCGAATAACCCAAGCTGCCTGTGAGGTTCTAGAATGTTAATAGTCACATGACCTATCCCACCGGGTACCCATTTTCTGCTGGGTGAAATTATGGATTATGATATTCCTATATTTAGTGACGTATAAGATTATATTCAGCCAATACGTATCCTTTGGTAATAATCACTTTCTTTGAACTGGGAAACTAAACTCATTGTACAATTAACTTAATTGGAAATATTTTTAGTTGGGTTCAACGTCATTTTAACATCATTTCACTTTTCGTTCCAATTATGCAGATATGGAGTGTTTGGACTGGGGTCGAGGGCCTATCCCAATTTTTGCGCGTTCGGTCACTTCCTGGACTCGCTGCTGGGCGACCTGGGAGGTCAGAAGATCCTGGAGACAGGAGAGGGGGATGAACTGAGTGGACAGGATCAATCCTTCAAGACCTGGGCCCATCACGCCTTTAAGGTGAGGTGGACAGATGATGCTTAAGTTCAATATCAAGAGCGCCTTGAGTCAATGTGCGAAATAGACACTTGCCCGTTAGCCCGTGGCTAGTAAAAATCCAGATCGGGATCGGTTGGTCAGGCTCACTGACTTGGTTGACACATGTCATCATATCCCAATTGCGTAGATTGATGCTCATGCTGTTGATCACTGGATTGTCTAGTCCAGACTCGATTATTTATAGACCGTCACCATATAGCTGGAATATTGCTGAGTGCGGCGTTAAACAACAAACCAGCCAAGAGTATCCCTCTTAACAACGCTCTACACGACAGGCCTCCCTGAGAGAGTTCCGGGTCGAGGGTGACATGGACATGGAAAGCCTGGACGACCACCTGTCCAGCAGCGACGACACGTGGACGCCCGACAGATACCGTATAGCAGAACTTCCTGACGGGGACGAGGGGGACCTGTGCACAGGTAAAGCTTGCCAATCCGGACACCTCGCTTACATTAAGTTATACAATATAAAATGTTGATCTGGAAATCCCCTTAGTCGCACTTGGCAAACCCGGTATCACTGTTCTATACAGATGGGACACGCATGCTTCGTTAATGGGCAAACCTTATTCTATACATGTACTTCGGTTAAACTTTGTGAGTCAAAATTACTTGTTTGCATCCATGCAGTAACCTCATGCCTGTTTGATCAGGAAACTCTTCTTGCATCGAAGACCCGTGAAGATCCGGGTTAAGACTGATCTTCAGTAAGCCATGCTTGTCGTAAAAGGCGACTAACGGGATCGGGTGGTCAGGCTCAACTAGTTCCAAGGAATAGAAAGAACTGGCACAGCAAAAGTATTTGCAATCATCTGTTTGATGTAATTACTGTAATATTTGTAATGCGGCGTAATGCAGTATCCATTAACCCTGTTGTCTCTCCTTCCAGTTCTGGGCAAGCTGAACAGTAAGCAAGTGGTGCCGTGTAAGGTCCTCGAGAGAAGACAGCTCCAGTCCTCCTCGTCTCCGTATGTACATGCACTTCAAACACTCATGCCCGTGAAGATCGGGGTTAGAATAGTTCTTCAGTAACCCATGCTTGTCGTAAGAGACGACTAACGGGATCGGGCGGCCAGACTCGCTGACTTGCTTGACACATGTCATCGTATCACAAAAGCGGATGTCGATGTTCCTGATGTTGATCACTGGTTCAGATTCGATTATTTACAGACCGGTGCCATGTAGCTGGAATATTGCTGACTGCGGCGTAAAACTAAACTCACTCACTCACTCAGTCTGTTGTACTAGTATATGGTTTCTGTATACCCATGAGTACACTGACAATATGTGAGATGACTAGACTCCTGCATTGAAACCAAAGATAACATCGTAAATGGAATCTCCTCTTGTTTTTCGGGGATGGGTAGAGGTGTTGATGTATTATTGTTGTTCTGTTAGGGTTTTTTCGTTTGTTTGGGGTTTTTTTTGCTTTGTTTTTCATTTTTGTTTTGTTCTTTTTGTTGTTGTTTCAATTTTTATGGGTCTTTATGGGTGGGTGTCGGGAGTGGGCGTTTTATTTTTTTTGTCCTCTTCTTGCCCTTCCCATAACACACTTAGCCACTGATGAAAGACTCACCATATTGTTCCAGGCGGCAAACTATCCTGGTTCGGCTGGAGACTGATTCTACCAGTGCCATGAATTACAGCCCAGGTGATCACCTCGCCATATTTCCCTCCAATCCACCAGAAATGGTGCAAGGTATCTTGTCCCGACTGCACAACGCGCCCCTTGCCGGTCAGATCATGCGGATAGAAATGATGAGGGAGGAGACAAAAGCGCGAGGTAAAAGAAAAACCATCGATTATTTACACCAGGTTGAATTATAGCCATTTGTTAAATATACACTTCAGAAAGAAAAACAGGATGGTCTTGATTTTGATATTCAAAAGTAACAAGGGAGGGAACTGCTGGTCACTGTGTAGAGTTGCGTCCCTTTGGTGTACAAGAAATAAAATTATTGACGGTTCTTAGGCACGTTGGAGCAAAACATCATACTATTCAAAGAGGAATCTGAAACTTACTTCTTTTTTTTGTATTATTGTATTATACATGGAAATAACACAATATTCTAGGCATCGCGGAGATGTGGGGAATATGGGATAAGCTGCCGTCGTGTTCTCTGAGAACCGCCTTCACCCAGTACCTGGATGTGACCACGCCCCCGACCCAGGATCTCCTGAAGATGTTGTCCACTGTGGCAGACAATAACCAGGATCAGGACAGACTGGACATGCTGGCCACTGTGAGTCCAGTCACACATTATGATAAATTAAAACATGGGAAGTTTCATGAAAAAAGTTAATATGCTAATCCTCATACTTGACTAGGGTCGGTGGGGTAGCCTAGTGGTTAAAGCCTTCGTGTGTACCGTTGAAGACCCGGGTTCGATTCCCAACATGGGCAAATTTGCAAAGCACATTTCTGGTGTCCCCCGTCGTGATATTGCTGGAATAGTGCTAAAAACCATGCCCACTCACTCACTTATACTTGATTAACCCTGTAAACCTCTTGGTCATAATTGGTCTTCAGCAACCCCTGCTTGTCGACTAACGGGATCGGGTGGTCAAGCTCGCTGACTTGGCTGACACATATCATCGTATCCGAATTGTGTAGATCGATGCGCAAGGTGTTGATCACAGGATTGTCTGGTCCAGACTCAATTATTTACAGAAGGCCTTCCAATATGTATTGCTGGGAACGGCGTTACAAACATTCAAGATGAACGTGCGCAGAAAGGACGAACAGTAACCCATGCTTGTCGTAAGAGGCGACTAACGGGATCGGCAGGTCAGGCTCGCTGGCTTGGTTGACACATGTCATTCGTTCCCAAATGCGCAGATCGATGCTCATGCCGTTGATCACAGGATTGTCTGGTCCAGACGCGATTATTTACAGACCTCCGCAATATAGCTGGAATATTGCTGAGTGCGGCGTAAAACTAAACTCACTTACTCACTCTTAAGAACTGCACTTTTTGGTCATGTTGAGTCACAGTCATTGCTTTTCAGCCAGTACTACCTAGAACTGTTTCAGAAACATTTTAAGCCTCAAATACCATTGCCTATACTTTGTAATGGTACCACATTGTCCAAGACTAAGGGGCGGTCGGGTAGCCTGGGGGTTGAAGCGTTCGCCCCTCGCGCCGAAGGTTCGGATTCGATTCCCCACATAGGTACAATGTCTGAATCCCATTTCTCATGTCCCCCACCTTGATGTTGCTGGAATATTGATAAAAAGGGCGTAAAAACCATACTCACTCCAAGATGAAATCTTGTAATTGTGACTCACATGCAGTGATATTAGTGGCGTAACATCAATATTGATTCACTTCATATAGTGCTATATATTAGTATGTTCATTATCTCAATGTGATCTGTGTTTTCAATTGCAAGATATACAAAACACATTAAATGTTTGAACATTGATATCCTCATCTGAGATGGGCGAGGTTTTTATAAATATTTTTAATATTAAAGAGACACGTAAAACATGAACGATGTGCCACATCTCTCGAAGCTGATGTTCCATTTCTAGGATTCCAACATGTATGATGAATGGAGGGACACGCAAGCGCCGACTGTCCTGGAAGTGATGAAGGAATTCCCCTCCCTCCGGGTACCCGCCACGCTGCTGGTCACGCAGCTCCCCCTCCTGAAACAGCGCTACTACAGCATCAGCTCCTCTAACGACGCCCACCCCAACGAGGTCCACGGCACCGTCGCCGTGCTCAAGTACACGACTCAAGGTCAGTACGATCCTACACATGAAGGGCGGTGGGGTAGCCTAGTGGCTAAACCGTTAGCTCGTCACATCGAAGACCCGGGTTCTATTCCCCACATGGGTACAATGTGTGAAGCCCATTTCTGGTGTCCCCCGTCGTGATATTGCTGGAATATTGCTAAAAGCGGCGTAAAACTCACTCACTCACTCACTCCTACACATGACAACTGAACTGACGTACAAAGAAAGTACACATCTAGCGTTTTGAGATTTTTTAGGTATGATTCGACAATACATGCGATTAAAAAAACAACAACATGACTTTCATATGGTGGCTGATTAGGGCCATCGCTTTCTCGCCTTAAATTCGGAGGCGAGAAAGCGATATCACGAGACTCTTTCATGATATCCGACGAACAACGCTGTAAAGGATATCAGTCTGTGGTGTTTTGGTTATGAATGATGCGGAATTCTAGGCTTCGGAATGCTGCGAAAGGTTTTTGATGAGTTGAACTCAGCACGTTTCATTAGCCAAGACATCGCGCTCAGTCTTTTTATTGAGGGTAAATATCAACGTGCACGTAATTCAAACTTGAAATATAACGCATAATTGTCCCTGTAGGTGGCGCTGAACACGAGGGTGTGTGTTCCGGTTGGCTGAACAAACTGGAGGTCGGACAAGTCATCCCGTGCGCCATCAGAGCGTAAGTAATCAAGTAGCATCACTTCTAAATTGTCATAGACCAGTAAGCTTGAATAATGAGTGTTTGTTTGTTTGTTTGTTTGTTTGTTAACGTTGTTTAGTCGCACTCAGTAATATTCCAGCTATTTGACGTCGATCTGTAAATAATCGAGTATGGACCAGACAATGCAGTGGTCAAAAGCATGAGCATCGATTTTCGCAACTGGGAACCGATGACATCTGTCTACCAAGTAAACGAGCCTGACCACCCGACCCCGTTAGTCGCCTCTTACGACAAGCATTGGTTTGCTGAAGATCAATTCTAATTGTCAATTCTAACCTGGATCTTCAAGGGTACTTACGTAATGGGTAAGGTGGCAGGCTGGTTTAAGGTGTATTCTAGCGGACACCTTTTAAAAGAAGTTCACATGTCGTTCTCATGCGAGGGATCGAACCTGATTTATCCACTGGGCTACCCCATCGATACACGATGAATATATAACATCACATGGTTTTTTAGAAATATTGAATCCTTTCATGACAAAAGTGGGGGTATGGTTGTCTAACCGGTTGTGTCAATCTGTCTGCCACAGCGCCCCCAACTTCCGTCTCCCAGAAGACAAGACGCTGCCGGTGATGATGGTGGGGCCGGGGACAGGTATCGCCCCATTCAGGAGCTTCTGGCAACAGCGGCAGGTGGACATGGCCAAAGGACATATACCAAGCAGTGAGTCAGCAGTTGTACATTTTGCGATGCCCATCTTACTTGATCTTTATATGCTCAGCTCATGTGCCTCCATTCTAGATCTTTAATCTTTAGATACACCCCAAATACGCCCACACATATTTTGTATACGGCAGTCTTTCTTGCCTTTCACCTCGATTTACCGACACTAATGACGCTTTAAAGAGTTAAACAATGTGACAGGGTCGGATTGAAACCTTACACCCACCCTCACGTGCAATGACAGTACATTCTATTTGATTTAATTTTAGTGACATGAGGTTGCACTTCCTGTTTGTTCTAAGACTGAACTTTTGTATGTTCTTCAGACGCTAATCGGCGAGTCTTGGGTGACATGAGGTTGTATTGCTTGGGTGTTCTAAGACTGAACTTTTGTATGTTCTTCAGACGCGAATCGACGAGGCTGGGGTGACATGAGGTTGCACTTCCTGTTTGTTCTAAGACTGAACTTTTGTATGTTCTTCAGACGCCAATCGACGAGGCTGGGGTGACATGAGGTTGTATTTCGGGTGCCGGGCGTCCAGCCTGGATCATATCTATGACTCGGAGCTGGCGGCCATGAAGAAACAGAGGGTGCTGAACGACTACTACGTGGCCTTGTCCCGAGAACCAGGCAGACCCAAGGTAGGAAGGGAAGAACGCCATGACATCCTGTGATATACGTGTGTTTGATTATAACACCGCACTCAGTAGTATTCAAGCTGTATGGCGGCGGTCCGCATATAGTTAAGTCCGGACAATCCAGTGATCAAGAGCATGGGCATCGATCTGTGCAAATGGGAATCGATGACATGTGTCAACGTGCCTGGTCACCCGATCCCGTTAGTCGCCTCTTACGACAAGCCTGGGTTGCTGAAGATCAATTCTAACCCCGATCTGTGAATTACGTTAATATGTGCTTGAACGCTGCTGGGAGAGGACCGGATCATCTTTGAGCCAGACCTTCATTAATAAGACTGCATAATTATTTGGGGTTTTCGGAGTCCAACTCCAGAACAGCGTTGAGCTAGAAAGGTACTCGGTGATCAAGTACTGATCATGACTGAGCAAGAGCGGCTTCTCGTTGATCCATCTGAATCCATCCGTTGAACATATTTATAGCTGTAAATCTTTACTGCAGTAAATAGTCACCAAATTTTACTGCTTTGTCATTGAGAAAAGGATCATTTCCCCATGTCTGTGACTGATAGTACTTATAAGCGATATGCATTTGTCTCACGATCAAACAGCGCTGGAAACGTTCAGTCTCCACATTTGAGAGAAAAATGCTCAGTCACCGGATAGTGACATATTCCGTCTCGTCCAATCTAATAGAGAAATGTTCCCTCTCCTCTATAGCCGATAGTAAAGTATTTCATCTCCTCCATACCTGATGCAGAAATATTCTATGACCCCCACAGCTGATAGTAAAATATTGCATCGCCACCTCAACCCATAATGAAATGTTCCATTTCCCCAACATCTGATGGACAAATGTTCCATCTCCACCCCACTTGATGGAGAAATATCCCATCTGCCTTACACTTGATATTGATAACGTTCCATTAGATTCTCCTCCCCACTGACTAATCACTTGTTCCATCTCCTCCACAGATGTACGTCCAGAACATGTTGAAGCAGAACGCCAAGGACGTCTACAACACCATGGTCAAAGCTGGCGGACACATCTACGTCTGCGGTGACGTGGAAATGGCTGAAGACGTCAAGCAGACACTGGAGCGAATTCTGAGTGAGCAAGGGAAGATGTCGCCGGAAGCAGCCAGAGAATATGTTCGTCAAATGCGGGTACGTATAAAAACTGGAAGACAGAAAATACTTTCGTCAACTGCGGGTATGTATAAAAACTGGAAGCAGCAGGGAGAATGCATTCGCAAACTGCGGGTACTTATAAAAACTGTGGCAAGCTAAACACTTATCGTCAAATGAGAGTATTACAGAAAGCGAGCAACCAAATATTATTTTGCTCAACTGAGGGTCAATATAGGCACTTGCGGGTCGGTGGGGTAGCTTAGTGGTTAAAGCGTTCGCTCGTCACGCCGAAGGCCCGGGTTTGATTCCCCACAGGGGTACAATGTGTGAACCCCATTTCTAGTGTCCCCCGCAGTGATATTGCTGGAATATTGCTAAAAGCGGCGTACAACCCAACTCACTCACTCACTCACTACAGCCACTAGCTACAAAGTACACTAGCAGTGAAGAGTTTCTTCCTGAACTGGGGATAACTATTAGCAGCCAAAGACTATAGTCGTTATCTGAGAGTACTGTATTGACTGGAAACAGCTACAGAAAATTTTCTTCAAATGTGGGTACGCGTATTGACAACTGGCAATTCTATATCCTGGACATACAGTATATGACACATTTGGGGCACACTTGGGACGATGAAAAGATGTATCGCTAATTTGTTATGTGTTGTACGATCTGGAATCTTTGATGCACATTATCCAGAAAAGACCATTTCATAAACCTTAGTTGTACTGACAAATATGGCGTTGCAGAGCGTCAAGAGATACCACGAGGATATATTTGGTGTAGTCAAGAAAACGCAAGTGGAAAACAGGTCACCCGCCCAGACAAGTAACGTCGGGGATAACGAGGATTGGATAGAACAACTACCGGATCCTGTCGATGAGAGCGGAAAGATGGAGCCCGTCTTTCCCAACACGGTAAGGTGAAGAAAGTTTTCAAAACAAGTGAAAAACATTTCATAGAGGAGACGAAAGAATTCGAAAATGTTCTTAAATGAAGCAATTGAAAGAAAATGTTCTCAAAGGAAACAAGTAAAAATTACTGTAACCTTTCTTAAAGGAAACGAAGTTTTTTGAAGGAAGCAATTAAGAAATTGGTCTTCAGTAACCCATGCTTGTCGTAAGAGCCGACTAACGGGATCGGGTTTGTCAGGCCCGCTGACTTGGTTGACACATGTCATCGGTTCCCAATTGCGATGCACATGCTGTTGATCACTGGGTTGTCTGGTCCAGACTCGATTATTTACAGACCGTCGCCATATAGCTGGAATATTGCTGAGTGCTGCGCAAAACTAAACTCACTCACTCACTCCTCCTGTTGCAGACCCAGTTTGTACGGCGGGCAGTCCTCAATACGTCTCTAAGTTCACGTGATGGCTTCAGCACAGGCGTGATTTCCAACTAAATGCCCTGGTAGCATAAGGTGAGTTGCATTCATTTCATTTATCACATACTTTTTGTGGACGTATTCTATTAGCGCTTGAGGTGAGGTGAAATTGGGTTTAACGTCGTGCTTGAGAATATTACGCTCATCTGACGACGTGCATGCGTCTGTATGTGTATGTGCGGCTGCTTGTACTAGCCAAGACTTAAGCTGGTTTTAGAGTGCCTGCTCACTGAGATACCATGCCGCAGTGAAGCATGACTACCCCACTCAGACACAGTATACTGACTCAAAGCCGACCAGTCCTTGTTGTACCCATTAATGCCGAGCGCCAGGCAGGGACCAACAAGTACCATATTTTAACGTCTTTTGGTTTGACGCGGTCGGGGATCGAACCCGCTCTCCGGGCGGACGCTCTAACCATTACACCACGGAGGAGGCCCTATTAGCGCTTGAATCTGTACGGAGTGAATGAATGAAATATGATCTTAAATCATCAAGACGAGTTCGTGCTGCCCATAATGATAAATCCAAACTCGTTTGATGTTATACATTTTGACTAATCCTTTTTATCAATGACGTTTTCGAAATCCATCATGTTCTCTAATTCACGCAGGACCGGAAGAAGTTCAAATGGAGATAATAGACAGACCATCTTCGCGATGCCAACATCCAAATGGACAGGATTGTCAAGTACTGCCCAACTGAGCTTTCATGTCCATTGTGAGTGGACAACCCAATGCAATGATATATGTAATCTGTAAATAACGAGATGGTACTGTAAATAACTGGATGGTGTGTCTTTAATTTATTCGCATACCCCTTAAATATGTATTGTTTTTAATGTTAACCTCTTAACGATATTTGAGCGGTCAACGTCATGACTGCAACGATCCAAGGGCCCGTTTCAGAAAGCGATTGTAGCGATACGATAATCGATTATCGTCATTCCCTTTCTTTAACGTAGAGTTACGACAGTTGTAGCGCTACGGTGGCTTTGTGAAACAAGGTCAAGGCCACCAAGTGAGACCACTCTATTCAAATTACCGCATATAGTGCTATTCTCAGATACATAGCGCGCACTAACAAGTTCATGTTAGTGAGCGCTATGTATCTTAGCAACAAAGAGGCACCTTGTTCGCATCGGGTTCGACTTTTCGCACAAACTTTATCGATATACTCGATAAACCAATATAACATACCTCAATTCTATTATCATACTATTATCAAATACTTCGGATGATTCGCATCAATGAAAAGACCCGTGCAAAAATATCACTTTGACTAGCAGGAGAAATTCCGTGCTGTGATACCAAATATGGCGACGTTACCAAGGAAACGAAGCAATCATAGCGAACTGGTCCAAATCATGTGTCGTAATGGAAAATATATTATATGTAATATATAGTTATATGAACGTCCTCTTAATGTTTCGTATTATATTTATATGTTTTGTAAAGTTCAAAGCATTCATGACTAATTATGTTTAATTTTATATATCTTTTCCTAAGGGTCCGGGGGTTCGCTGGCCTCTTGTAGCACTACTCAAAACACTAGCTTAGCGTATATTCGGTCTGATAAAGGGTACATGGTGATGGAATCATACTCAACATATCATAAGACTTGTCCTGCTTTCGGGATCTTTATTTTAGTGATAAAACACGTAATACATGAAAAATAACACAAAAGCTCACCAAAGTGTATGCGTTGATGTGTTCCATAATTAAATATAAAATTCAATATTAGAAATTGAAAGTATGAACGTTTTTATGAAACCATTTTCATTCGATTTCAAGCAGAAATATAAATATCCGTCAAGGACCTAAACATAACTACCTGCTATCGACCCTTATAATGACCCTTTATTGTGCGTCATGCATGTAGTAGGAATATATAAATTCGGGTCCATTCGTGTCCCATAATGATATTCCACAATGGCGTTCCACAGTGATGTTCCACAATGGCGTTTCACAGTGATGTTCCACAATTATGTTCCACAATGGTGTTCCACTGTATTGATAGAATATGTTGTATGTTGAAGCAAGTAGTGATGTCTAACTTCACATCAATCTACTATGAACTGTGATACAAATTTGTACATTTCTCTGACACAATATTTTAAAAAAGATATTATCTGTCCAATATCAAAAGCATCCACGCCACTGTGATACATTGATTTATAGCAGCGTTAGAATTATTACGATTATAATCCCCGAAGCCGTTCCACAAGCCAATGTTAACTCTACGAAAGTCTTTGGTCAAGCATAAGGTCTTAGATCACAACGTGAAATAAGTCTCTGGTAAATATCGTATATTACGTATGTATTCAGGGAAAGTCTGTAACAATATGAATGTATGACATTATTTATAATTGTATGGATACGGACATGTACTCGTTGTATGGATAAGTATATGCACATATACTCCACGTCATATTACCGGAAACAAAGGTATATTATAGTATGACCAGAAATTATTGAGAATTTTAGGAATATGTTTAATTGGATTTCTAGTATAAACAACCTTGACCAGCTATCAAGTGCTTGGTTTCATTCAAAAGAGACAACTTCGTTAACTCTTTTTCATTAGTTTGTGAAGAGTTGTCCCCCTTTGTTTACTTGCTAGCAGACGACATTTTTAGTGATCCTAAGTATGGATGATTTAGAGAAAAAGTTACAATCTTTAAATTCTCAATAATTTCTGATTGTACTGTATCAAATGTTCATTGATCGATTACACAGGTCCTACTTTACGAAATCCAGATACATTGTGTTTTAAAGTAATTGTTTATACTGATGATTTCCTGTATTGATGCATAAATATATATTTTCCCATAATCGTTCACCCCAGAGTTTTGAGGTTATTCTGCAAACATACTGTTTTCCTTTAATCGTACCAGCAGTGAACATTGTTTTCCCGTAATAATATACGCCAACGTTACGTTACATTACGTATTTCCTGCTCTCATTTAAACCGGTGTGCTCCATATTTCTGCATGCATTATGTTTTCCCGTTATATATACACCGGTGTTTTACTCGAATGATGCATACGTTATTTTTTCCCCGAACTCGATTAAACCGGTGTTCTCCATAATTGTGCATACCTTTTGTTTCCCCGTAATATATACACCGATGTTTTTCTCGAAATGTTACATACATTATGTATTTCCTGTTCTCGTTTGAACCGGTGTTTTCCATATTTCTGCATACATTATATTTTCCCGTAATATATACACCGGTGTTTTTTTCGAAATGATGCATACATTATTGATTTGCCCGTACTCGATTAAACCGGTGTTCTCCTTAAAATTGCATACGCGTTTGCCAAATCTATGTGCCGTTGGTTCTCGAAATGCTGTACACATTATATTCTTATTTATCCGTAATTCTGCATGCACAATGTTTTCACGTAATATATACACCGGTGTTTTTCACGAAATGATGCATATATTGCTGTTTTTCCTGTACTCCTTTAAACCGGTGTCCTCAATAATGTTGCCTCCATGTTTGGAGTCTGTCATACAGACCCTGAAACAAACATATCCAAGAAAGTCCATGCAAGTCTATAATATGTAGCAAGTCTTCAATATGTGGCAAGTCTTCAATATGTGGCAAGTCTATAATATGTGGCAAGTCTATAATATGTGGCAAGCCTATAATATGTGACAAGTCTATAATATGTGACAAGTCTATAATATGTGACAAGTCTATAATATGTAGCAACTCTATAATGTGTGGCAAGTCTATAATATGTGACAAGTCTGTTTGCGGCAGTTGCTGAAAATCAAAGTAACTTGGCTCCTTTCTTATCATATTTTATCAAGTTAATTTAAGAAGCGTTTCTCTGTAAACATTGTCTTTTCAGTGACGATGTGTTGATGTTGTTAGCCCCTATACATGTATACCATGTTTTCCGTATGCTGCGCACACTATATTTGTAGATATTCGCTTACACCGGTACAATCATATTGTTTTTATCCCGTAACCGTTTACGCCGGTGTTTTCTCGTAATGCTACGTACATTCCTATTTTTGCCCTTATTCGTTTACGCCGGTGTTTTACCGTAATGCTCCATAAATTACGTCTTCCCCTAATCGTTTACGCCGGTGTTTTCCCGTAATGCTACGTACATTCCTATTTTAACCCTAACCGTTTACGCCGGTGTTTTCCCGTAGTGCTACGTACATTCCTCTTTTAACCCTAACCGTTTACGCCGGTGTTTTCCCGTAATGCTACGTACATTCCTCTTTTAACCCTAACCGTTTACGCCGGTGTTTTCCCGTAATGCTACGTACATTCCTATTTTAACCCTAACCGTTTACGCCGGTGTTTTCCTACGTATTCCTATGCTCCATAAATTACGTCATTCCCCTAATCGTTTGAATAACAGTAACACACCTAACAACATTTCTAGACGGTGAGAAGACGATTTGAGTTTGCCGCTTTATTCCTTTATCAAAGATACACAGAGGTTTCGTTAAAAACCCATAAAATGCTGCTATTTTAGCCTTTACCATTAGTCATAGGCGGATCCAGACGGGGGTTGCGCACCCTTTGATCCTGAAAGTTTATTAAATGACCACTGAAACTCCTGTCAAAATGAAGTGTGCAGACCCTCTTTCTCCCTGTTCGTGTTCCATTTCCATTTTGGTATTCCTCCTACAGAACGTTCAATCAATTTATTTGATTGCATTGACGTTGTGGCTTCAATCCACACTGGTTAGTTTCAATTAGTTAATTTAACTAGTAAAACATGAAACATATACAAATTATATTATGTTAGCAATCTGATGACAATGTGTGAACATTAATATTCCAGAATTTACCAGCTTGCTTACTAATTTAAGCATTTAGTTTAATTTTTACCTATTTGTATAATAACACAGAGGAGGGGTGATTTTGGGTTTCAATCTTTGGTGTTTCGGCGTTCGCCGGAATTGTACAAATATTATGTTTTCCTGTAATTTATACACCGGTGTTTTCTCGAAATGTACATTCAATGTATTTCTTTTTTATTTACGTTTCCGGGAAACCAAATGAAATGAAGATAGCTTTGGGTCGGTCCGTTGATTTGTTGAATGTAGTGACACAGTGGCTTAAAGGCACATTGAATGAATCAGTGAGTTTAGTTTTACGCCGCACTCCGCAATATTCCAGCTGTATGGTGGCGGTCTGTAAATAGTCAAGTCTGGACCAGACAACACAGAGACCAATAGCATGAATATCGATCAACGCAATTGGGACACGGTGACATGTGTCAACCAAGTCAGCGAGCCTGACCACCCGATCCCGTTAGTAACCTCTTACGACAAGCATGGGTTACTGAAGATCAATTTTTAACCCGGATCTTACAATCTGATAATGTGTGAACATTGATGATCCGGATTTTACCCACTTGCTTACTAATTCAAGCATTCAGTTTAATCTTTATCTCTTTGCATAATAATCCAGAGAAGAGGTGATTTTGTGTTGGGATTATTGAACTAACACCTTGCTACTTGGGTCATGGCTGTCTTCGCTAGTCAGAGCTAATGCCGATTTTATACTGCTGGCTTACTGAGATACATTACGGCAGGTTAACATGGATGCTATTCTTAGCCTATTATTCTAACCAGAACCGACCACTCCATTTTGTCCCTTATATCTTGAATGTGTTGAATGCCGGACAGGGTAACAAGAAGTAACTTTCCTCATGTGTTTATGTATGACGTGGTGGGGATTGAACCCACAGCCTTCTTTATTCTACAAGAACAGTGAGGCGTTCTTATAATCAAGAATTATCGTAACCATTACGTTTATTAATGGGTGATATTTTTTAAAATGTTTGAATAATTGTAATTTGAAAAATTGTAATTGTCATTGTGATAAATGCTCCAGTGTATATTATACATTTGATATTTCAAAATTATATTTTTATAATGAAGCATGATGAACTGTTTTTCGTTCAAACGGGTGCATTTTTGCATCATATATTTTGCCTGTAACTCATTTCACGTGATATATTTGTACTGAAATGACATATGTAATAAAGTGCCATTGAATTGTGAACGATACACCCTTGTCTCATGTCACGTCGATATGAATGAATGTAAGTGAGTGAGTGAGTTGGGTTTGACACCGCTTTCAACAGTGTTGAAAGAAATAAGGATTTTAGAAAATCTACGGCTTCACTATTATATATTGCATGTTATATAATGTTAATGTCCAAACAGAGATTCGAACCTCTGTGGTTCCAGCAACATCACGGCGTGTCGTTTTATGTGTGTGGCTACCTCGCAGTGATGTACACCTCTGACGTTCACGACCTTAGTGTGTTTGTTAGCTTGTTTGTTTAAGAACGCACTCGGCAGTTTTCCAGCTATACGGCGGCGGTCTGTAAACAATGGTGTCTGGTTCAGACAATCCAGTGATCAGCAGCATGAGCATCGATCTACGTAATTGGGATACGATGACGTCTGTCAGCGAGCCTGACCACCCGATCCCGTTAGTCGCATGGGTTACTGAAGATCAATTCTAACCCGGATCTTCAGGGATTGCGATCACACAGAACCTCATAAATATACCCGTTCCTTGTGGTTTACTAACGCCGCAATCAGCAATGTTCCAATGATTTACACATGAATATCTGTTGAAACGATCGGTAACTCTGCATCCCTGAGAAAGGAAAATAGAGCAAGACATGTGAGGATTCTCCCATCACAAGGGGTCATTTCAAAACATCATTCTTAATAGCTCTATTTAGAAATACTAACATGCACTTGATTTTGTTACTCTTTCAACATTTGACAAATAGTGATCAACAGTTTTTGATGACAAGTGACCCTGTTAAATTGGCAGGCTAAATTAGTAACGTTTCAGTGGCAGTTGAGCTGAAGCAGTTTCTAGGAAATTCACAAAGACCACTTCATTGGAGTGAGTGAGTATGGTTTTAAGCCGCTTTTAGCAATGTTCAAGCAATATCACGGCGGGGACACCAGAAATGGGCTTCACACATTGTACCCATCAGGGAATCGAACCCGGGCATTCAGCGTGACGAGCGAACGCTTTAACCACTGGGCTACCACACCGCCCAACACTTCATTGGAAGTACAGTTTCGAGCAAGTCATATTCCTACGCTTCCTTCTGGACCCTTGTTCTTCCATGACTATGAACCATAAAAATAATAATAAACACGCTTAGTCAATATTCCATACATTTTATTCAACCAAAATATTATCAAATACGATTACACAATCTCAATAAAATCAGATCATTACTCGGATACAATACCTAACTGCGGACAGTGTAAGGACAAATCCTCAGGTCATGTTTGGCGTGACCAGCCAACACTTAAACCGCTGGGCTACCTGGCCGTCCCTAACCGCCTCCGTGGTGTAGTGGTTAGAGCGTCCGCCCGGAGAGCGGAAGGTCGCGGGTTCGATCCCCGGCCGCCTCATACCAAAAGACGTTAAAATATGGCACTTGTTGGTCCCTGCCTGGCGCTCGGCATTAATGGGTACAACAAGGACTGGTCGGCTCGGAGTCAGTATAATGTGTCTGAGTGGGGTATTCATGCT